CTGAAGAAACGTAAGCGATGCGGAGGATATGGAAAATAAAAGGTTGAAGCGCATCATCTGATTACGGTCAGTACATATTGAAGTGAAGTTCCGACTTGGAGCCGAAGTAAACGACCCGTTCGTACATACACAACGTTCGGTCATAAATGATGTTCTTGCTGATATTGTTTGCCTACGCGTTGTTAACATGTTTAAAAGCTCTTGCTGATTTCTCCCTATAATTAATTAAGTTCTTGCACTCCTCCTTGTTCTTATATGGCTACCCCTCGAAAGTTTCAGTCGTCTAGAGTTGTTGCAGTCAGGGACTAACTCAGTCACCTGTACACTCGATCTCAGCAGCCTGCAATTAGTCTTGCATCCATGATGATGCCAACGAATGAAATACGGCGAGTGTCTGCTTTTCTGTGGACGCGGGAGGCCACAATCACCGCTGCTACTTGTCGACAGGCGATATGCTCCATTGTCTACTGCAACCGACCAGTCAATACTGCAACCTGGATGGGTCGGTTCACCAGCTACGCGCACAGCACTTTGATGTCCTTAGCCTCGAGCTGCACGGGTGCATGGGCTTCTTTCACAGCACGGAGGATTGCATTGCCTGGCTCGTTAATCCGGTCACGCATCGTCTGTAGTACGTGCTTCGGCACCGGTAGATCCGTGCGGCGTAACTTCTGTAACATCCAACGAGTGAGCACCACAGCAGGCACCTCCTTCTCCTCTCCCTTGGACGTTTTAACGATTTTTCGATAGGACTTAAGCGCCATAACGCCGCTGATGTCCAAGCGTACGCAGTTCTGTGGACGGTACGGATACAAGTCGTCCTCGTTTACAAAGTTCATGACCATGACTCCTTGGTCCAATGCCTTGCCTGTACACACGTCATGGCAACTCGCTGGTTGGTCCGAGAACATGACAAAATTGGTCTCCGTTGCCACATTCTCGACCTCGGAGATGATGAGACGACGGTGCATGATGTTCTTATCACCACCCAACTCGCTCGTACACGTGTACTTGGAGTTCATGGGCTTAGTGTCCATGTGTTTAATGTGGAACTGGATGAATTCGAACGCCTCTTTGACTGTTTTCAGACCTTCCAGAGGGGTGATATCGAAGCGGATGGAGCAGAAATCGCCCGCTTCGTCGACGAACTGGGCGTTTTCAGTGTATTCGCGCGCCTCCGTCATGAACTGAGTGCGCTTTTCCACTAGTTCCGCTGCGTCTCGACATTGTTGAGCACGAAGACTTGTGAGAACTTCAGTGCGTTTTGTCCAGTCGCGACTGAGGTGGATGTACGTGTCTAGAGGACAGCGATTGTGCACCGCATGCGTGAGCTCTGACAGCGCCGACTGCGCTGATAAAACTCGAAGTTGATGCTGCTTCACCGAGTTGCGTAGTACATTATTGGTGATCTCCGTCTCGATCTGTTGTCGATCCTTCTCCTGCCAGGCCACGATGTTGGTGCGGTTCTGTAGAAACGACACCTGGCTCTCCAGCTCCTTGATATGCTCCAGTAACTCGCATTTCTCCTCCTACTCAAACAAAAACTAGTAAATATCTACTGGTTAACATCAAACTCACTATCTTTCCTCACCTTTCGAACCAAATACGTGGGCTTGCGCCACTTGCCTCGACATTTTTTCGACGTGGGCGTCGATGCATCCTTCTCGTCCTCGCACTCGGATGCACGGCGTTTTATGGGTCTGTTACAGAGTGGCTGTCCTGGAGCCTTTATAGTGAGCTCAGGCTCCTGCTTCATGGTCTGTGTCGATAACGACGGCGTTGTTGTGGGCGTTGACACGCCGCAATTCTTCTCTAGCACGGAGGCGAGCGTCGGTAGCTGCTGAGCTGACGGGTTCATGTCCACAGGGCTTGTGTCGGAGCCTAATAGACTCGCCATGTCGTACTTGGAGCGCTGTACATTGTTGCTGTCCATGTCTTGCTGCGTATGGAGCGAGTCGTCGAGTGACACTCAAAAGTTAAGAGTTCCAGTTTCTCGCAGCTGATTTCTGATTGGACTAAAATAGAGATGGACATCATTACAGCGACAATCATCGAGGTGATTACGCCTGTTATACCAAAAGGATTGTAGATCATGGATACGTTATGTAATGTAGAAGGATATAAATTATTTTAGTTTGTATTGAGCTGTGTTTGCACATCAAGACAATGTGACATCAAAGGTAATAATGACGAAAAGGCTTTCGCTAGTAGGCGTACGTCGATCAACTCGAACCAATTTTCGACTGGAAACACTATTTTGCGCTGCAACACGGCGCCCAAGATGTCGCAGGAGACACTGCCCGTAGTCCAGGCCGTCAACCCCAGCTTATGGCTCTGCAGGGAAGTGAAGGACTCGTCGCAGCTTTCTCCGCTTGTACAAGATGCGTGAAATACAACTCCACTTTTTTAGATTGTTTTAAATTTAGGAGTTGAAATAAATACTGAATCTAACTTGTCTTGGTAGTCTTTTATGTTTGCCCTATTTCAACGTTCACCTTTACGAGAAAAAAAAAACACCATGGCATGAAATCGCCATAAGCGTGAAAATCAAGCCTGCTGAACCAAGTTGCCTATACAGTGCATGCCCACCAACTTTTTTGCAACTTCCCGCAATGCGTCGGGGTAAGTTGATCTCAAGTACGAAGATTGATGGGGCAGACATCTTCGGCGCAATGTGAAGTATATTGTCCAGTACTATTAAGGCTAACGCTGACGAAGGAAACACTAGGTATTAAGCTGTTGAACTTCGATTCATAACCCAGACCTGGTGCCCATGTCGAATTAATTAGTTGGTTCATAGGTACCGTTTCAATATTATTTTTTAGCCTACAGACAAGTAAACTCTTACTCAAAATGGTTAGCGCGCATTCCTTGCGAGAATACCCATAAGCTTGTCATACCCTTCGACGTATTTGCTGTAAAGAAGGAGACTAACGTCGTCCGCCGCTCCCTCTACACCCAGCAATGAATGGACTCTTTTTGGCTCCACCCTTTTCTCCAGCCAACGGGTCATCTGCCACTTTTGCAACTCCACTGCCATCTTTCTGGTACTCGGTACTTTCGTCGCTGCTATCAGCACGTCGGAAAGCTGTTGGTCACCACCACAGAGGCGAGTCAATAACTCGGCCGGGTTCCATTTACCCCCGAGGTTCATTTTATTGACATAGAGTCCGTAGTTGTACCAAACGCTGAAAAGCGGGTTTTCAAGCACCTTGTCCAGTGTCCGGTCGAGGTTCATCATAATGAAGACATCATACGTGGATTGTTTAGTGAAGAGCCAATCGCGCTGTAGTTCGGATTCCAATCGTTCGGCGATATTTTTCGTTTTTGAATTTCCATGCGCCTTCGTGATCATCTTCGCCACGGCTTCGTCACTGTAGTGACTGATCAAAGTGGACATTGTGGCCAGGTCGGTGTCGTAAAGCAATCGAAAATCGTCCGCGTACTTGATCCAAGCACTGAACAGCGGGTTCTCGAAAAGCGTATCTCCTGCCTTCTCCAGCTGTAGCATCGTGAAAATGTCCTCCGGCTTTTTGCCATGTTTAAGCCAAAGCTGCGTCTGCTCGGCTTGAATTCGTTTGGCGATGCTGCTTGTGCTTTGAGCTTTGTTCGCCTGAATCAGCATATTCGCTAGTGCTTTGTCACTGTACCGAGAGGATAGAATCGAAATCAACGTCGTCTTCTTGTCAGGGTTGGCATCGTTGAAATCGTCCAAATATTT